AGAGAGAGAGAGAGAGAGAGAGAGAGAGGGACAAAAAAAGAAGAAAAAAACAAAAACTCGCTCGAGATTACCTGTTGGAAACTTACCTGTTGTAAACATCGGCATTTGCCCGAGTTTGTATTCGCAAATTAAAATATCGCTTTGTACGTTGAAAAGCGGAGAGGAGGAGGAGGAGGAGGAGGAGGGGAGGGAGGAAAAAAATAGAAAAAGAAAAAGGAGAAAAAAGATATCGAAAGAAATAGAACGCGGAGCTTAACCTCGACACGAAACCGCAAATAGTTATGAATTCTCGGATCGTGAATGCGCAATCTGTGGAATTAGCGTTGAATCGATCCATATGCGCCTCTTCCCCCCCCTCTCCCCCGCCCCTCCTTTTCCCCTCGATGACGCGGGGGGAATCGTCATTGCACGCATTGACATCTCCATTATATCGTACGTCTACGATATTATCGAGGGGGCATATTATCGCGAAACCGCAATCCGTCCCGAATCAGGTCGATTTTTCTCTGTTATCTCGCGTCTCCCGAGATGGTGGCGTCTCTCGAGCGAGTAACAGCGAGTGGAGAATAATAATAACGGCGACAATCGTTGTACAATCGCCGGCCGACGAGGAAGAATCAAGGTCCACGGAGAGGGGAGAGGAAGGGCGAAAGAGACGGGCAACTAGACACGGCTCGTCGTTTGTGCGATTCGAATCTAATGAACCATCATCACCACCCCCTTGCCTGTCGTCGTGTTAATTACGAAATTTTGCCAAACTCCGTATCGTTACCTTATATTCATATTACGAATAGACAGAAATTGAATCAATTGGAGGAAAATAAAGAGGAAAAGGATCGATGGAAGATAATGGGATAAAAGTATTTTCGACGAGAAAATATTTTTTGGATTTACCACGACGTTATTAATAAAATGAGACGAGATTTGAGATTCGGAAGAACGGCCGAGTGTTTCCCATTTTTAGATCGTTTTGCCGAAAATATCATTAACCGGCGTGAAATAGATATAGTATTATTAAAGTGCGAAGAATCGATTCGAACCTTTCGATCACCTTTCGATCCATTTAACCATTATTGGTTAAAAGTTTAATACATAGAACGCATCGACATCGATATTGCTATTGTTTTTATCGGATTGTCAACGTTTCTCCTGCCTCGTCTCGTCTCGATCGCGACGAAAGACCGGTTGTTGGCACCGATTCGCATTAAAACGAAGCAAACTGACACGAATAACGCGCATCTTAACGCGCGTTAAGATCGAAAGGAAGAAAGCGAAATTAACCGAAGATTTCGAGAAGCGCGTATAACGGTATTACTGACTATTAAAATTCGAGGCAGACGTTAAGAGACTCTAATTACTTTCTTTCTTTCTTTCTTTCTTTCTTTCTTTCTTTCTTTCCGGGAGAAAATCGGGAGAAGCGACACTGGTTAAAGCGAAAACTTGTCCCATCCGCGGGGATTCGAAAAATGCTTACCTGCCAGCCTGTCCTTGAGGTGCGGGTGTCCCTGGAGCGGATGCGCGGCCAAGTTGGCCAACAAGCTCGCCCTGTGAAGACCAGCCGCCGCCGCCTGTTGTTGGCTGTGTTGAAGGGCTTGTAAACTCCAGGGCGGTATCAACGCCTGTGCGGGCAGTGCACCGGTCGCCGCTCCATTAGCGCCGGGTGGCCGATGGGCAGGGACCCTTATCACGCCTCCGCCTGTGTATATCAGGCCTGACCCGGTCGGGAAAAGTCTGAACGGCGCCAACAGATCCGACGCGCAGTGGACCGACGAGTTGGTCGAGTTGGTCTGGGTCTCGGCCGTGCTTCCGGTGTCGTCGTCGTCCCTCTCCGACAACTTCTCCTCGATCTCGTGCCCCCACGACCTTCTTCCATCGTCCAACGTCGTCGCGGACGAGCCACCGTTGTTGTTGTTGTTGTTGTTGCTCCCCTCCTCCCACGACCACTTCCTCTCCTTGTCGCTGTCCAGATCCTCGGACGAGGGACTCTTGGGGTCGCGGGGCCGATTCTCGCCCAGCAATCGGCTTATGCTGAACGGGTGGCTCCGGGGCGACTCGGAGTTTTGCAACGTTCTCGAGTTGGTTTGACTCGGGGGCGGGGAATCGGAGCACTCGGAGTGGTCCAAGCGGCGATTCTCGTTGGAGTAATTGCGGGGGCTGCAACTTCCCGTGTCGGAGTCGTCCACGTTGATCTCTTCCGTCGCGTCCACATCGCTGTCGCCGTGAACCGACATGATCGGTTCGTCGCGAATCCAATCGGTCAGTACCGATGCTCGGAGCGTTCAATCGTTCACCGTTCCCGATCCTGCGTTCACCGGAAATTGCTTCGGATGCTCATCCTGTCTCGCTACCCTCGTCGCTACGTTAGGCTCGTCAAGTCGAAGTATCCGTTTGCTGCGGTATCGATCGATCGTCGCGCTTTTACACGGGATAGGATTATTGGAAGGAGGAACGAAGCGAGTGTCGAGTTTTCGCTCGTACGATTGTTTGATCTTTGACGCGCGTCTTTCATCCGGCGTTCGATCTGTCGTGCGATCCGTTCCGCCTGACGGCCATCTTGTCCGTCAACAACGTTTCGAATTCGATTCCTCGAAACGAGAAACTTTCGATATCGTCGATTATTAACTCTCTTAAACGTCACTCTGGGGGACTGGGGGCACTGTGTTCAACCTGTTTCCATCCACGAACAGTTTCGTTCAACCATCAAGCAGCACAAGATCACATCGACGGTCGGGGAAAGACTGAACCACTTTTCCGTTCGTTCTCACTTTGCTTCGGGATCGAAACGATAAATCGTAACATCCGTGACGACGATCGGGGAAAAAATCACGACGATCGAGCCGCGAGTGCTCTCATCCTCGATCCTCTCGATACCTTTTCCGTCCGTGGAAACGTCGTCGGGCGGAAAAGAAGGGAGGGAAGAAGGGATGGATCGATCGATCGGCAGATTTACGCCGCGCGAGGAGGGGAAAAAAAGAAAGAAAGAAAAGAAAACGGGGGGAAAAGTCGAGGAGGATACTCGGGAGGATACTCGAGGAAAAGACTCGGGAGGAGGTGGTGCTCACGTGGTGATCGAAAGGGCTGTGTTTTCCGCGCACGGGGAACTCCGGATCCGTGGTGAGTCGGGACGCGAATCCAGGTCGGCCGCGACGAGAGAGACGGGACGTTGTGAGGGAAGCGGAGAGACCAGATGCTTCATCCCTACCACGGTTGCGCGGCGACTCGAGCCACGAGGCGACGTCCCGACCCGCGGCATCGCCTACCACCGGGGCCACGCTCCAATCCCGTTCAACCTGGCCCCGCCCACCCGCTCCCCTATTGGCCGCCGTTAAATTGATACCTATTTAACATTTGAGCAGAATGTTGCAGGCGATCGCCTTTTTCTCCTGTATTATTTATTGCCCGATCGTCGTGCCTCCTTTTTTCTCTCCTACTCTATTTCCTCGCTTCTTCCTCCCACCCTCGAGCCGAGCAACGGGCCACGTTCCTCTTCCTCCTCCTCCTCCTCCTCCTTGTTCTTCTTCTTCTTCTTCTTCTTCTTCCTCTTCTTCCTCTTCCTCTTCGCCTCCTTCTTCGTCTTCGTATTCTTCTTCCTCGACCCTTCTCGTTGTCTTTTCGTCTCTCTCGCTGCAGAAACAGTGTGCCGCGTTCGAGAAGCGGAGGGACTTAATTACGACGAATATCCTTTTGGCCCCCTCCATATTTTCCCCTCTCCTCCCACCTTCTCCTCCTTCCCTCTTCCTCCGCGCTTCTTTTTCTTTTTTCCTCTCCTCTTTTTTTCTTTCGATCGGGCTCCCTTCTCCCTTCGTCTTCTTCGCTCCTCGTGCTCTTCCACCCTTCCCCTGCCTCCGCCTCCTCGCGCCGCGGCTTTTATCGCGATGTTGCAATGGAGTTTTGCCCCGTGTTGTGCAGCTAGGTATGCGCAGCCCGCAGAATGCAGCCCGAAGCATCGAGCAAAAGGCCAGCCAGCCAGCCAGCCACGCCACGCCACGCCACGCCAATTCGTCCCCCCTTCGAGTTTCCAACACCGTGGAGCAAACGAGAAACCGATGCCGTGTTGCGAGTAAGACTCGAAACGAATGCACTTTCGCGTGCCTCCTCCTCCTTGTTCTTCTTCTTCTTCTTCTTCTTCTTCCTCTTCTTCCTCTTCCTCTTCGCCTCCTTCTTCGTCTTCGTATTCTTCTTCCTCGACCCTTCTCGTTGTCTTTTCGTCTCTCTCGCTGCAGAAACAGTGTGCCGCGTTCGAGAAGCGGAGGGACTTAATTACGACGAATATCCTTTTGGCCCCCTCCATATTTTCCCCTCTCCTCCCACCTTCTCCTCCTTCCCTCTTCCTCCGCGCTTCTTTTTCTTTTTTCCTCTCCTCTTTTTTTCTTTCGATCGGGCTCCCTTCTCCCTTCGTCTTCTTCGCTCCTCGTGCTCTTCCACCCTTCCCCTGCCTCCGCCTCCTCGCGCCGCGGCTTTTATCGCGATGTTGCAATGGAGTTTTGCCCCGTGTTGTGCAGCTAGGTATGCGCAGCCCGCAGAATGCAGCCCGAAGCATCGAGCAAAAGGCCAGCCAGCCAGCCAGCCACGCCACGCCACGCCACGCCAATTCGTCCCCCCTTCGAGTTTCCAACACCGTGGAGCAAACGAGAAACCGATGCCGTGTTGCGAGTAAGACTCGAAACGAATGCACTTTCGCGTGTCTTCTTCTTCTTCTTCTTCTTCTTCTTCTTCCTTTTCTTCTCCGTGCATCGTCCTGGGTAGTGAACCGTTTGCACGCGTTTCCGATGAAAGTCAACTGGGAGATCGGAGTCGTCCGTCCGAATCGTTCAACTTTTCAACTGATCGATGGAAAATTTTCCACGATCGAAAAGTATAATTCGTGGATGAGAAAACGCATTGATTCTTCTTTCGATTTCGAGAGAATTAGATTGCTCGATCACGAGTTCCGACTGGCGAAGAAAGCGTTGGCTCGCTATTGATCGATCGAGCGTTTCCACGACCTGATCAAAGAAAGTATCGGTGTCTCCTCTCGTAGCCTCCACCCGCCTCCTTATATACGAGCCAATTTAAAAATGGTGACCGTCCACGAACTCGCCCCGCCATTTTCCTCCTCGTCTTATCGACCGATTTTATCGCTATGCCCAAACTGGAGCGTGGCTTATTAAATCGTATCTCCGATCGTGTCCCCTATAAACGAGGAGGAAAATTAAAAGCGAAACGAGCAACACGACACGACGCGTTCCACCGAATAAACGAGCAAAGATAAACGTTTCTTATTCCCTGTTTTTCTCGTGAAAAATTTGTAATTGCATCACGTTCATTTCACCACTTTGAAAATTTAAGCTACGATTTCTCGAAAGAGTAGAAATCCGAGACGAGTAAAAGAAGCGTCGTTTACAATTAAAACAACAATTTAAAGAAAGATAAATGTTGCTGAAAGTTTACAAAGTTACGACAACAAACTGCAACCGCGTGAAGGCGAAGAAACTCGATTGCGCAAGAAATATTTCGATCGGCAATTCATTTGAGAGTGATCCATGTCCAGCGTGCCGTTGCGCAACGAACGCGTTGCGGTAACCGACGATAATGGCAACAAAATAATTTGCCGCACACGTAGCGTGGCGAAACATCGACTCGAAAGCCTTACCTTCTCACCTTTTCCTCACCGTTGCCTCTCTGCCGTTCGCTAATGGCTCGCCATTATTATTATTGTTGTTGTTGTGCGCACGATTCAAAATATTTCTGCGTCGTTAGAAATACGCGTGTCGATCGCGCGGATGGATTCGAAACGAATCGTATCGCATTACGCGCGAACTGAAAAAACCTTTTGGACAGGTTACACTTTTTGCGGGTATATATTGAAAAATTTTTCAAAGCGAATTATCATCCATCCATCATCGATCATCGAATTCGATAAACGAAATTGTATTTCGTAACGAATCAACGATCAATTATTTCGAAATGGATTTCAAATAATTACTCTCCCGGTAAAACTTACTATTGGCTGTTTATTCAAAACGACATTTTATTCCGTTTCGACGGGTGAAAAATGAAATACGGGGAGGAGGGCGGGGGGCGGGAAGGAGGGGGGAATAAATATTCAATTTCAACGATACTAAGAATCGATTGGTTACTTTATCCTTCGCGAGGAATGGATATCGCAGTCGCGTTAAAAATCGTCCGGAATGGTGATAGCTCAACCGCGACCTACTAAAAACGTTTCAAAGTAACGTGAAGAAAAAAGAGAGAGAGAGAGAGAGAAGAAGAAGCGCAATTACAAGTTCGTCGATCGATTTAACAATTTAATTTTACTAATGTACTCGATGAATTTAAAAAATTAACTTGTTAAATTCCACGAGATAAAAAGTGCGTAAAATAATTTAAAAAAAAAAAAAAGAAAAGAAAGAAAACGCGGATATTCCTCGCCAATAAACCTGAAATTGAAACTTTCAACACGTCCGCGGTGTGTAAAAATTGCTATCGAAAAAACTGCTTAACGAAAATTGCCAATTCTCGATTGAGAATACGTTCTCGCTGGCAGAGAATGCATTCGATAATTCAACTTGGTCGAGCGTTTTATCAGCCTGCGAGAGAGGGTAGAAAATTATGGACAAACAAGCAAGTCGATTTACATTGATTCGTTGTGCGTTTCACGGATTAATGGGATTCCGTTGGGCGAATTATGCAAGGAAGGCTAGGTTTCGCCCACTCCACCCTCCCCCAGCTTCGCCTCGATCGAGGATCAATTCGGGATGTCAGACGTCCGCGTGTCACTTAGGCGTTTTCACCGAGGCCCGAATAATTCATCCCACCCTTTTAGAAACGCTTACAAATCCCGCGATAGCGTCGCGACAGAGGGAAACCAGGGGGCGGCGAAAAGGTTAGCCGGAAGAGGGAAGGGATGGGATGGGGCAAAGAGGGAAACGAAGGGGTTTGACCGGGCTGCCCTGTTGCAGGATGAAAGACGCGACGACGTGGAAAACTGTAGCTGCACGCGTGCACGCCCGTCCCCCCTCCTCCCCTGGAAAGGATTGTTCTTCATTATTCAAAACATCCAGAGTTTTAAGCTCTGGAAAACGGCGGCAGTGATTCGAATAATCGGCCCGTTATATTCTCCTCGAATACGTTCGGTGACGAACAATGGTTTTTCGAAATTCAACTCGCCGCGCTGATCTCGTATTGGAAATTGGCTACGGTTTGAAAAAGAGAAAATGTTTTGGAAACAATCCAAGTTCGATGATAAAGTGAGACGGTGGAGACGGAAAGTGAAAATTCTAATTTTTAATCGGATC